TGTTTTCCTGCAAAATCAGTATGTGTGAACACGGCAAAGATATGTTTTGATGCATGTGAAAGGGTAAACAGCAGTGTAAGCTGTAAGAAAGTAAAAATAAGTATGTACCAAATACAAATAAAAGTTTCTAAGTGGCTCGGTAGCCTGGTGGCTAAAGCTCCCGCTTCACACACGGAGGGCCCGGGTTCGATTCCCGGCGGGTGGAAACATTCGACACGTTTCCTTACACCTGTTGTCCTGTTCACCTAGCAGCAAATAGGTACCTGGGTGTTAGTCGACTGGTGTGGGTCGCATCCTGGGGGACAAGATTAAGGACCCCAATGGAAATAAGTTAGACAGTCCTCGATGACGCACTGACTTTCTTGGGTTATCCTGGGTGGCTAACCCTCCGGGGTTAAAAATCCGAACGAAATCTTATCTTATCTTATCTTACCTGTCACCTACCATGCTCAAGAGAAAAGAGACCAGCAATCGTGCTGAAGTGTAAAATATTTAACAGGCTTCTGTTTTACACTCAAAGGTAAAGAATGAAACCTTAGATGTAGTTTTGGTTCATCCTGGACCATTAGCAGGTCATAACCAAGTGAGAAATTATGAGGAAAATCAAACGATGAATCAGAAAGAGGGAACGGGAAGAGAATGTGAAGATAAGTCAGGTGGTTAAAAAAAAAAAAAAAAAAAAAAAAAAAAAAAAAAAAAAAAAAAAAAAAAAAAAAAAATCAAGTGGTTGGTGGTGGTGGTAGTACTTCTACTACAGTACTTTACCATTACTACCACCATTACTACTACTAAACTTCTGGCCATTTTTCTTGGTTACCTGACCTGCCTTTACACTTTCCTGACCCTCCCTTTTTCTCACCAGTCTTTTTGTTTTCTTTTTTTTTTTAAGTTGCTTTAAACAACTTCCCAAAAGTTTGGATTATGTACTTGTGACTTGTATGAACCATGGTATTGTAACTTCTTCCAATGATGCAGTTTTGGCCAGAATGCTTGCTCACTGCCAGAGTGAAGAACATTTAACAAGCTTCTTTTTTCACACTCATATGGCAGGAAGGAAAAAGAGGTGGCACTTTTTCTGGAGGGAAAGAAAGTACTTTGCCCTGATTTTTTTTTTTTGGGGGGGAAATGTATTCCCAGATCTCCATATAAGCAAATTATAAAGCATAAAATAGCACAAAAGCTGCACAGCTCTAAAGAGGGCCATCTCATAGACTGGAACAAAGTAGATTTACAGGCAATCCAATGCTGATAGGGACCACTGTATTGAAGCATCCTTAATTAATATCACTTACACTATAGAACAAAGAGCTTGCTAGTGCTGTACCCTAGCACATGACACTACTCCACGTTGAGACCCCCCAAGGAAGGTTCCTTGATGCTGGTGATTGGCTTTTGATCTAGCGAATTGGATCGGTGCTCCAGTTCCCTGAATTGAGCCTAAATGCCTTCCACCCCCCCCCCCCCACAGGCAATGTATAATCCTACGGCTTTAGTGCTCCCCATGATTATTATAATCCATGCCAATCTAGAGGTAGATACACACAGATCTAAATGGATTGTGAAAACGAGCAATTGCATTAGTTTTATAACCTGCATGAACTGTATCACTGTAGGCAACAAGAGCATTTCACCCCTCCATGGAAGATGTGTTCATTTAATATCACATACCTGCAAGTCCCTCCCAAGAATCTCATTGCTAGTAATCCCTTCCTTAAATCACTTGTTAAAGCAACGGCTCAAGAAGAAATTTCTCGTCTAGCTGGTAGTAATAAGTTATCACAAGTTATATACACTAATGGATCTAAACAGGAGTCTTCTGGCAGGGCTGCATCTGCTCTTGTTACCACCTCCCTAGTTAAGAACGATAATAAATTTGTAGAGTTAGGCATAAGAATTAACAACTGGGCGTCTACATTGCATATTGAATTGTTTGCAATCCTAATGGCACTAAAGCTAAATTATGACACTGAGCTTGACTCTATCCTCATTACTGATTCTGTCATCACTGAGGCTCTTGACTCATATAATGACTCCAACAACATGCTCATTGGAGAAGCTAGGTACAGATACTCAAAAATCAGGGACAAAGGAATTTATGTACAATTGTTATGGATCCCATCACACATTGGATTACTCCTTCATGATAAAGTTGATATGTTAGCCAAGACGAGTACCCAGAAGGAGAATGTAGAATATAACTTTGGTATATCTGTGTCTAGCATTAGGAATAATATTAGGAGAGAAGTAAATAACGAAAATGAGTGCTATAGGAATGCAGTTAGAAGCCTGAGTAGATCTATAACCCACTATGATAACATGAACGTAGATAAGTATGTTTATGGAGCAACTTGCAATGTGAACAGACTGACTGATGTTGTAGTGGCCAGGCTTAGGCTTGGTTACAAGTACTTCTGGCAGTTTGGGAGACACACAGATGATGATCAAACTAAATGTAAATTATGTGATCAGGCATATGGTCACTGTCTTGAGCACTATGTGCTTAATTGTCCACTTATTGAGGAATACAGAGATAGACAGTATAATAACCTATGTGACATGTCAAGTTATCCTATTAATGAAAATAAGATACCAGATATATTAAGCAAATTTCCTAAATTTGCTTGAACTGTAACAGATAAATGACCTGTAGATATGTAGATATAAACCCATATGTACACCTGTTAACCCTTTTGGGGCCTAGTTCCTAGGCCTTTTGTGTATCCATATACACTCTTGCGCTACCATCCACAGGATGGATATGGATTACACAATAAGCTAGCCACTTCGGTGGCAAAATCTAAAAATCTAATCTAATCCATTATTATAATAATCCATGCTGATACCTTGCTACCAGGTGACTTGGCTCTTACATGACCTGACACCTGCACCTGATCTTCAGCAGTAACCTGTTTTCTCTTTCGTCAGTCCCAAAAGAAAATTACTTAAAAATATTACATAAAACTCACCAGATGTTGTTATTGTTGGGTTGAAAGGTTGTGAGGTCCTCGAGGCCGAGGTCACCCTTATCTCTTGCTTTATTTTAAAATCCTTTTATATAAACAATTTGTAATGTTTAATCTACGAGTTAAATATGAAAAACATAAAACATAATATATTATTCGAGTAAGTATGTGTATTATTCATTATTTCAAGTTATTATAGGGTGCTGTTGGTTTTAAAGGGCTACAAGGACATGTGCCGTATGGACCCTGACCCCAGAAGTCTGGTGAAGATTTTGCCCAAATCTTAGCGAGCAATGGAGAGGAAATAAATGTCTTTCGCGAAATAGGAAATAAAATATTGTCAGTTAACTCAAATGGATCTCCTTGGCTAAACTCCAATGAAGGCAGACACCCCTCCCCCCACACACCACAACCTTTTTCGGGTTATCCTAGGTAATTTACACTATGTTAATTGTACTTAAGTGTAAGTAAGTTTATTCAGGTGTAGGTATACATAACTACAACTACATAAATTATCTTAACAGCATATGTGTGGATTACCTAGGACAACCCAAAAAGTCAGACTTATTTCTATTGGGGTCCTTGTACCTGTGCCTAATAGACTTACTAATCTTATTAAAAAAACAGTCTTTCCTTAGGTCTATAATATTTTGAGGTGCCGCCTGAGCGGTACTTTATTATGCATCCCATGTTCACCATATGAGGGGCTGTTAAAAAAAGGGGGGGGGATTTAAAGAGGTCGCAATAGGCCCTAAGTATATATAATAATAATAATAATAATAATAATAATAATAATAATAATAATAATAATAATAATAATAATAATATCTTTATTTACTACAAGTGCATGTACAAGGTATACAGATCATAGCTGACATCAATGACATACTACTGTATAGAAAGCCGCTTGTTATGCAGAGCATTTCGGGCAAATTAGCTCAATATTGTCCCAGGATGCGACCCACACCAGTCCACTAACGCCCAGGTACCTATTATTACTGATGGGTGAACATAGACAACCGGTTGTAAAGAAACTGTGAAAATTTGTGTGGACTGCCTCCAAGTGAGTCGCCTACCCTGGCAAACTCTGTTGACACCGAGCTCTGAGGTGGGTACCTCAGCCTCACAAGTGGCTTATAGGACAGATTTTCACAAATGATTGATGTTTGCAAGAAACTCGCCTGCATGCACGTATGAAGGACTAACTTACTTGGTGTTGCAGCATATATCCTGATCTTCAACTTCCCTAAGCTTAGCCTTAGCCCCTCTGGACTTCCCTCAGAAACCACGTGCAACTGGGAGCCTTAATTCCTGCAATATTCAATCGTTATTAGTGTCCTGCCTGCACCTCAGAAATCCCTATATCCAAGAGGGTATGTATCCCCTAGTACAACTATGCAGACACGGACACTAGCTTCCAGACTGCCCTGAGGCACTGGTACTTACTGGGCATGCACTGCCTGTTGCACACTGGGCCACAGATCAAACTCACTCACAATCTCCCCAGACACTGGCCAGAAATCTACGAGATAAAGTAGAGGTCTTGTCTTACTGTATGGGCCTGACGGAGGTCATCTACGGTACATCGAGGTGCCTCTACCAGATTTCCCCAGGTCTCAAATGTGAAGACACGTGGGGGGCGCCGTCTGCTGATCACGGCATGTCTTGTCCAGTTGGTGTCTGTCTTAAGAAGAACGCTATTGTGTCTTTGAGACCCGCGCCTCGTCATTCAAGCTAGGGCTGCCAGTTCTCCCTAGCTAACTTAACCTAGTGTTTGCCTACATTATCGGCCTATTACTACCTATGTTAAGGTCTTAGGTCTACATTATTATTATCTACAGTTGCCTCAATAATCCTAATATTAGTGTACTACCAGTAAAACTACCTACTCCTTCCCTGAAGGGTAAATCTATAAATTAAATAAGCTTACCAACAATCCCACCAACTAGAGAGAATGCTGTTTGTTTGGGAGGGTTTAAGGGCCACCCAGCTCAGCCGTCCCATTATGGCTATGCTGGGACCCCTTCGTACGTCGTATCTGTCCTGTGGAACTTTGGGGACCAAATAAATTTCCACAGAAACACTCCCAATGTTTCTACCCTCGTAAAAAAGAAAGGAACCAAAGTATGGTGTCCCAGACACCTGCCCAGAGGGGCATGTGTACTGCCACTGAGGACATGCCCTCCCGGGAGGAAAACAGGGAAAGTTTATTATTGATGAATCATGGAACGAGTGGGGATTGAACTCATGGGTTAGTACGTTTATTTAGGTACTACGCATAAATACAGTTAAACAAATTATCATACATAGTAACATATGCAATAGGATAACAGTAAACAGGTAATATCACAATATGCAAAGTATAGGTAGGACAAGTCCTCGATTATCCACCCGCATTATATTGGGAAGGATGTAATTTCAGAGGTGACAGTGAAGTGTTATTTTACCCCTTAAAGCCTTGTAATTTCACTTTTTTCACAATGG